CTAGCATACTGAGATACCATGCCGCAGTTTAACATGAATACCCCACTCAGACAGAGTATACTGACTCCAAGTTGACCAGTCCTTGTTTTAGCCCCTTAATGCCGAGCGCCAGACAGGGTAGAAGTACAATCTTTTTACGTCTTTTGGTATGAGGCGGCCGGGAATCGAACCCCGGACCTTCCGCTCTCCGGGCGGACGCTCTACCACTAGGCCACGGAGGCGGTCCTGTTTTAAAAGGACTAACCGTCATTCAACCACTTGCTCACCACTACACAATTTCACGTACGTCACTATTTTCGGCAGGGTGACTCTAATATCCGTTTTATACTTTCGCGAACACCAGGTGTCATCAATGATTTTCAGGGATCTATTTATAAAGCTTTCACTGCTGTTCTCTTCTGTCTTTACGCCCAGTATATATGTTTCCTTGACCATTTCCTATTTTCGATTTCTTTTATGCGACAGCATTCTCAACATTAAATGGGTTTTGCCAGGATTAAGAAGGAAACATTGAAAAGGTGAAAACGTGAAGAATCGCTCCCCTGGCCAAAAGCCCCAAGGACTGCAATACACATTACCGTAATCGCAAGAACAAGGTATACCAATTGTAGAACGGTTTCGTCTATGATTCTACCTCTTGATACGATCAGGATGACGGTACAGGTGATCATGGCGAGTATAGGAAAATTGCATTGAAGCCCAATGCTGGGATATTTTTAGTGAACTTTTCTGAGGTCCGTTACGAGGTGAGGTGAAATTTGGTTTAACGTCGCATCCAAGATTATTGCACTTATATAGCGACGTGCATGCGCGCGTGTGTGTGTGTGGCTGCTTGTACTAGTCCGGACTGATGCCGATTTATAGTGCTAGCACACTGAGATACCATGCCGCAGTTTACGTAAATACCCCGCTTAGACACAGTATACTGACTCCGAGCCGACCAGTCCTTGTTTTAGCCCCTTAATGCCGAGCGCCAGACAGGGTAACAACAAATACCATCTTTTAACGTCTTTTGGTATGACGCGGCCGGGGATCGGACCCCGGACCCCCGGACCCCCGGACCCCCGGACCCCCGGACCTCCCGCTCTCCGGGCGGACGCTTTACCACTAGACCACGGAGGCGGTCCAGGTCCGTTACGAAAGTGCATTAGTGATATCCCAAGGTATCCGCGATAGATGACCAGGACGATGCTGCAGATAGGTATGGGAAGTCATTGGGGCAGACATGTTTCAAGCTGAAACAGCTACGTGAACCTTGTGGACAACAAATATACACTGGGAAAAACCGTTAAGCACCTCTTATTGTATATGTCCATTTTGAAATACATGTATTTTTGTCAGATGAACAGCGAGAAAACCTAAATCTATTATCTGATGACATGATTTATAACTTTTTGACGACAATCGTTGTGTTATTATCCTTTAAATTTCAACTATTGCTACTTTGCATCATATATGACTACAGTACTTGCGACCATCTGGTGGTTTCTTGGCAAAAGCTCGTCGCTATATTGCTGAAATAATGCCGATGCGACGTTTAATTTTAACTCGCTCACACTTGGCAATAGCGGTAGCTTATATATTTATCACATTTAGATCAATGCCATGTGTAGTTATTTGCACAATATTCATATTTATCTTATTTGTTTCTCGTTAGTTCGTATTGTAATAAAAACAGTATTTCAAAACCTTTCAGCATACATGTCTGCTTTCAATTAATCAGACATTATGTCTAATAACTGCAGTTATTGCATAAACAATTATAAGTCGGAAAATGAGTCCGAATGTTTGATGCCATCTCTGTGATAAATAAGTAATTGAAGCTTGTGAATTGTATTTTTGTGGTCCTAGCATACTGTAGTTTTAGAATATAATGAGAAGTAAAAATGTGATTTGTCACCCACAAGATCCCTCATCTCATGGTCGGTCATGTACATATTGATGCTATTCGTGAAGATCTGGGGAAGAATACGTCTTCAGCAACCAATACTTGCCGTTAAAGGCGACTATGCTTGTCGTAAGAGGCGACTAACTGGCTCGGGTGGTCAGGCTCGCTGACTTGGTTGATGCATGTCATCGATCCCAAAAGCGTGGATCGATGCTCATGATGTCAATCACTAGATTGTGTGGTCCAGACTCGATTATTTACAGACCCCTGTCATATATCTGGAATATTACTGAGTGCGGCGTTAAACAACAAACAAACAAACAAAGAAATATATTGATGTTCGTGTGGAATAATGAAAGTGTCTCTATAGCCGTAGCCCAATCTTGATTCCTACGTTCATTGTACCATTGTAAGTTGCGCAACGCAGCAATAAGCTTTTACAAGCTATATCACGGCGGCTGGAAAATATAGTTCAGATCAGACAAACCAGTGACTGAAAACAAAAACAACAATCATCGTAATCAGAGTTCGAAGACACGCAACCGGTCACACTCTGGCCATCCGGTCCAATTTAGTTGCCTCTTACGATTGGCATTGGGCTTCTTGGAACCTACATGTATGCTAACCCGGGTCCTCGTGGGTTTAACGCCGCTTTTAACATGATTCGATTTGTATCACGGCGTGTCAGCTTAATGGGGAGGAATACTGATGCAGATCTGAGACTTTGACCACTTTGATGAAACCAATGATCACGGGTATGGTGCTGACAAACATAGAAACAAAGTCGGTGCGAACTGGGTTTCGAACCCATAAACCAACTTTGTAAATATTCACTGATATGGCGCCATAGACGCGTGGTATTTATACGTGCAGTCATCATTTGTGAAAATATCGATTAATATTTATTTATACGAAGAGAGCTGTCGACGCTTTAGGCATTGATGTCCTGTCTGTGCGTGATGGAAAGCTGTGTACTGATGCATATTCGATCTTTAGTTGAATACAGTAAACTACGGTAATAACGAACTCGAAGGGACCACTAATTTTAGTTCGTTATAACCGTAATTCGTTATAATCATATATACAGCATCTATACAGCAAATGGCCGGGACAAAAAAAAACAGTTCGTTATATCGGTCTGTTCGTTATAAGCGTGTTCGTTATAAACGTTGACATATGTTTACTGTACAAAGGGTAATTCTATTCATTTGTGGCCACTGTTGATTCATTTTCATATTGTACGACTAAGTAAACCATTTTAAAAATATATTCCCCTTTAGAAATGTGCTATATGCAACGGAGTCAGTCATATTCTTATCAATGGAAATCAGTCATATCGCATGTCTGTTACCGAGGAAACCTGCCTGACGTCAGACTGCCATCATTAACTGGTTGGCTGGTCGCTCCGACATTGTGAATACGAAACTGCCAAGATTTATAACAGCTTTGTATTCGATTGATGAAACTCATTTTCATCATTACTGGGTGTAGCCACCATCGTTTCAGGGGATTTATTTATGAATGGGGTCCGCGTTCTGATAATTATGAGTGACACGCAAATAAGTGCCTACTATTTAAAGAGAGCGCCTTTGTACTTCAAGTTTAATCAACCAATCAAATAGATCTCTGTGTCAGTGCACAGGAATTGGGATCATCGATAAAGAAGTCCGAAAGATTCAAAATAGATAATCTTATAACAAAATAAAAAAAATCATTTCGGTTTTTCAAATTTTATGAACGTCATATAAAGTTAAAGGGAACCGCGCCTATAAATTGAACGAAAAAACTTACAGAGCTGAATAAAGTAGGATAAATAGAGTTCTTAAAAAAATATTTCAAACTTTTACTTGAGAATATTAGTTGTATGATAACATTAGTCGAGTTATTGTTTGAAAGCACAATCTCTAGACAATAATGTATGAAAAATACAAAGCAGTGCAACGCTGGTTGAAGGTACTTTCGTTCTACATATTTCTTGTCCCTGTGTACTTTTTAATTATGGTGACTATGCTTGTCGTAAGAGGCGACTAACAGGGTCGGGTGGTCAGGCCGGCTGACTTGGTTGATTAATGTCATCGTATCTCAATTGCATGGATCAATGCTCATGATGTCAATCACTGGATTGTCTGGTCCAGATTCGATTATTTACAGACCGCCGTCATGTAGCTGGAATATTGTGTGAGTGCGGCGTTGAACCACAAACAAACAAATGTTAATTATTTTAAACATCAAACTTCTAGAACAGTTAATCTCAACCTCGTTAATCTAGTCGGTATTATTCCCAGTACAACTGCAAATTAACTAATCAGTAGTACCTCGTGACGACTTTGATACCTGTATATGTCCGGAATGCTCAATTTCCAGATTAACGGGGTGTGGACTATGGCGATGTTGTATCTCCTTGTGATTACCGCTATCCCAATTTCTTACGATCTTCGACATGGAACAGCTTAACACTGTTCTTTCCATAAACCAAATATACTGATATAATAATCTTACATTACTACGTAACTATGGAAACATTTGGACACCAGAGACAGCAGCATGAAAAATAGGTTTTCACATGAAACGCTAACCTTTACAACTGTGTACAACAATTTTCATCAACATTATTAGGAAAAGACAACGTTTGATAACCTTTCCTTTAAGAACGCAACCAGGTTCAACTATCATTTTGCGATTTCTTTGGCAACATTTGTAAACATACCACGACCCCGTGCCTTATCATCTTCAGTAAGTGCAAATAACAAGCGACAAGGCCTGACCCTCGGCATGAGAAGAAAAACAGTCAAACCCTTAACTGCTTAATGCGTCACATCAGCTAAAGTTTTCTACTTCATTTCGAAGTCTTTCATTGGGTTATCAATTTCAGGCTTCACTGGGGACAAATGGGTTTAATCCAGTCGACATTGAACCGAAGATGTCTACGCTGGAATACTATAACCCGTCCATACAGTATTACCATGATAAAACGACATTGGAAAGCCGATAGCCAATTTGTAAGGGCGGAATTGAATTAGTAAGCGGAACGCAATCATGTTAAATTAATGTCTCCGAGAATCTTCTGTGATCTAGGTGGCGGTATATAAAGAAGAGGACTCGAATCCTCTACCGATACTTCAGAGAAGCTTGGATTCGTCTCTCATTCAGGTGAGAAGTGTTTAATACTACTTTTTATTGCCCGCATCGGCAGATATATGTTTGAATGGCCTGATCCACACAACTTGCTTTCTTCGGTGATATAAATGTACTCTTCTTAGATGAGTAATGATGTGTATACAGGTCTATACGTGTTAACGTTTTACATGCCGCATTACATGGTAAAAGTACTGATGTGTGGCGTCAGGCAAAAACGGTTACATTTCTATTGAAAGTGAGTGTCGGGTGTTACCGGCAGGGCAGGGCAGGGCATGCTTACCCTTTTCGTGCACACCATGTGTCATTACTGCTTTTCAGGGATCCATTCATATATTTTTTTACCGCTATTTTGCCTCTTACGCCCAATGGAAAAAATCTGTTTCAGCTGATAATCAAGACTTGTTATTCTCTGGCGTTGATATTTTATATATTTTCTGTTACGATGATCGCAACAATTTCTTACATTATTGTTATTTCGACTTCAAAGGCATCTGCCGTGTTTGATAAAAACAAATTGGTATACGACAAACTGTCATTTGCCTTTTTATGAAATCATTTTTGTCATGTTGTCGAAACATTGTACTTTCAGAATACTATAACAACTTACGTTGGATTTTAATACAGTTGAAAATATGTTTAATGTTGAGATCTTAAAACCCGTTTTTTGTGTTGCAAGGGGCTTCCGTTTGCAATGTGGTTGTATCAATAATAACGTCGGGGCAAACGTGTGTATACTCTTGCTTTATGGTGGCTAAAAAAATGAAACAAACAAGAAATGGTTATTCGATGGTGCTGTGTTTGATACGGGTATGATTGTATGGGTCTGCAGTGTTTTGGCGGCGGTTTACAGCCTAGGAAAGTTTTTATAACGTTCGTAAGTTTTTGGTCACATTCAATTTTCAAGTGTATACTTTTGTTTGCCCGGCATAGGTATCTCGCGATCTTCCTCATCAGTATGTAGAGTAATAATGTTAATACAAAAAGCGAATCAACTCATCATCTTTCATCGGTTATTAATTAGGAGATAAATATACTGTGTTTTCAAAGTTGGGCTAGGTTACCTGTAGATTTTACCAGGCTAAATTAAACGCGCAGCGTAAGGTTTCAAATGCTATGTTTAGTGCGGTTAAATCTTCAGGTAACCAAGCTCTAGATTGAAAAAACACAGTGTGTTTGTCTCCATTCTACCGTGACTAAATAAATCGCGGACTCTTTGGTGTTAGCAAATATTTTGAGTGAAGCGGCTTGGGTTGAGCACAGTGTTTTTAGTGGGTTGTCGATGTGAATTACGGAATCACCGACATCAGCCTTTATACAAAATAGGGCGCTCTGTTTGTTTACACCGTGATAATTCACTCGAACATATGACAGGCATTGAAAGCACGGCAACTTCTTAAGCTAACATGAGGTGGGCACCCCTTAAGAAAACTGAGCAAGCCTTGCAAAGCTTTCGTTCTTTTCCGCACGTCACTATTATGACGTCATATAGCTCAGCTCTTATAGTCGTATCCCGTGAAGATCCGGGGTAGAATAGGTCTTCAGCAACCCATGCTTGCCGTAAAAGGCGACTGTGCTTGTCGTAGGAGGCGACTAACGGGATCGGGTGGTCAGGCTCGCTGACTTGGTTGATGTATGTCATCGTATGCCAATTGCGTGGATCGATGCTCATGATGTCAATCGCTGGATTGTCTGGCCCAGACTCGATTATTTACAGACCGCCGTCATATAGCTGGAATATTGCTGAGTGCGACGTTAAACAACAAATAAAACATATTGTCGTATGTAGAAAAGCCCCAAATTCCAAGATCTCTGTTTTCCATAAAACTTAAAATACATTTTATATGTAGATTTCTATCATGTTTTCTGCATGAAATATATTGCCACACATCCTTTGAATAGTGTAGTAACCGCAACTTTGCACTTTGTAACCTGTAATAATTGTAGATATAAATATTTTAACATGCCTATCGACAATGACTGAAAGTGCTATTGTATGAATGTAAGCTTCCGCGTTAAGGCGGCCATCAAATCGGCAGTTTCAATCAGATGGGGGTAATTGTGATTTGACAACCTCTGATTGACCAATGTATACAAAGGTAGCTGATCACGGTCACGTTTATCTTATTGCGATTTTACCCCGTGAAAATTCCGGGATAGAATGGGTCCCCAGCAAGCTATCAAATGGTTGGGTGGTCAGACCCAGTGATTTGGCTATAATGCGCATGCTCGTGGCGTGGATCGTTGCTCACAATATCAATCACTGGATTGCCTGGTCACGACACGACTATTTACAGGCAGCCGTCACACAGCTGTAGTGAGTGAGTTAAAATTTAACGTTACATCGGCATTATTTCAGCCATATAGCGACTCACACAGTGCAGTGTTAAAAAACACAAGTGATTGCGATTTTCTAGACTGACGATGGACCTTATTGGTTTTATAAATTGTTTGAAACATATAAATGCAACAAATGAAAGTATTCAAATTTTATATTTTTACACAAGTTTTGGTGCGATATCCTATTTTCCTACTAGAAATATGCAATAGTTTTAAAACCAAAGGAAATGTCGGTTTCAAATGTCAGCTTTACAACTGTATGGACATATAAAACAATAAAGTTTTATCTTAAATTGCAGTAATCAATATATTTCAGCCCACATGATCACTGTTGCTTTTGCCTTTAAATATATATAGCCCTATGGCCGGCCCGTAGTAGATATACTGAACAAACAAATAATAGGGATCATGAATGTTTTGGGGGATATTTTAATGAAACTGTGTACTCACTCACTCACGTTTTTTATTCGGTATATAATCAACCATGGTTAAGTATACGAGCACACCATATGTACGTTCGCAGGTAACGTGGTCTGCAGCGCACAGGTCACAAATCAATCAGGCGAAGATAACCAACGGTGTATGAACCTTTAGAAATAGAATTTGGCCACTCTACTCGTCCGAAATCTGCCTTAGATATAGAATATGTAAATACTGACCCTCCTCTGCAATAACCTAAAAATTAATTTTTACCTCTTCAAGGAGGATATTGTAGAGATTTTGTTGTTTTCAATGCCTTTTATGAAAAACGGAAAAAGTGTTCCAAAATAATTATTCTATAAAAAAAAGTATTTTAACGATTTTTGTTGTGTCCCATTAGCCAGTAATAGCTTGAAATTGTTTTTATATTGGATTTTATTTACTGCTTTATTTTTAATGTGCACTTATATGTGCACTTTAATGTGCACTTATATCTTATCTTATCTTATGTATGATCATGGACTTCCCATGGTGATGGGAATGAAATTCGACTGTAAACTGTTCCACTGACCGCGATAATAAGAATAATTATCTCACCTTGCATTAAAATATTCCTTTCTAATTGGACCGCCTCCGTGGTCTAGAGGGAGAGCGTCCGCCCGGAGAGCGGAAGGTCCGGGGTTCGATCCCCGGCCGCGTCATACCAAAAGACGTTAAAAGATGGTACTTGTTGTTACCCTGTCTCGCGCTCGGCATTAATAGGCTAAAACAAGGACTGGTCGGCTTGGAGTCAGTATACTGTGTCTAAGCGGGGTATTCATGTTAAACTGCGGCATGGTATCTCAGTGAGCTAACACTATAAGTCGGCATCAGTCCAAGCAAGAATATGCGCATTTGCTTATAGCTTCACTAAAAATGATGTTATTGGTACAGTCAGGTTTGTACACGGAATATGTCATCAATAACATGAAAAAATGGCGAAAACTGGTTGGTGACCAGTATTCATCGAGCCGGGTCGACAACGCTGTGACTCGAATAGCAGACATCAGAGGATGCCTTCAGCGCATTCCAAGTGTCAAATATTACACTGTGGTTGGGGTTTCCGGTTCGTTTGGGGAATATAGCAATCCCCAGTATTTAAAGATTAGTCGTTTTTTATATGTGTTTTTTTAATAGGTCGTATTTTGATATACTGAAACATATAATTTGGGGATCATGAATATTTTTGTTGGTACTTTTATGACATTTTGTGCTCAGTCTTCACAAACATAAAAAATCCCCTGAAAATATTCATGATCCCTAGTTGTTTTGTTCAGTGTATATTGATATTTCTAAAACACAATGAGAATAAAATAAAGAACTTCCATACCTATTGGGAACACGATTTTGAAGGAAAATCTTAACGAGACATCTCTTGCAATTGCCGTCTGTTACATTAAATTATTCACGCTTTGTATATATGGCTACTATTTAACGCACAAGTAAGTGAGTAACGTTTAAGCCAACCTATTTTATATATTACCGAATTCAATATGCTATGTATAGAAACGTGATGAACTTGTCCATGATGTCAGGCAGTAGCGTTATAGCGTTGTATAATACAAGAGTGTCTCAGTTTGGTTTTAAAGCCAAAACAAACCCACGTAGGATCACTGATATTTGGTGGTACATGTCACAATAATAATAATAATAATAATAATACAACTACTACTACAACTACTATAACTACTACTACTACTACTACTACTACCACTACTACTACTACTACTACTACTACTACTACTACCACTACTACTACTACTACTACTACTACCACTACTACTACTACTACTAACAATAATAATTGATAATAATACAAAAGAAGAAGAACGGTAACACACTAAGTACCAAAAAAACTGAAGCCAATATATACAGAGGAAAACCAAACCACCTATCCTATCATGGCGATCAAGCAAACCCACACAAACCACGAAAGAGAAAGCAAACTAATATCGCCAGAACAACTGAGGGTATACCGTGTAAACCGAACGTCAATTAATACCAACTAAATGTAAAGCATATGACAGAGTATTGCAAGTGTAAAGACGTCCAGAGTATAGCAAAGTCGGGAATTATATCACCAGTAGTTTAAAGAAAACACAGTATGAAACCAAAATTACTTGATAAAAATGATTTTCTATAAACGCGGAAGCAAAATACCGGTGTAAACACGCGAAGTAAAGAACAAGGTACAGCATCGGATGTAAACACGCAAA